GAAGAATTCCCACGCGGATGATTTAAAGGTTTAGGCAAAATCTCCGGCAGAATAAGGGAAAGTTATCAGAAAATAGTTCTAGAAGCAGTTTTGATAATTATATCACATTCATTACTCATAAAATATAGCCGCTATACTTCCGGGATAATAATGAGGACTGTCGGATACATAAGACCCCCTTCCCTGGAGTATAAAAGCGCAATTGTCCGAATGTGTCTTCTGTGGGGTTGATTTGCTTTTTCTTTCTCATTGGTTGTCCTATCCNNNGGTTACATACCATCTGAAGTGTTCATTTTCCGCCTAGTCTTGATGAATATACATATATTTTTCACAACTAGATTGATGCGAAAGATGCAGAATTCACGGATGTTGTCGCAAACCTCACGCCAGAAACCGAAAATCTCCCAACCCTGCAACCGACTCGACTTTCTGTCTGTGGTCGACTAGCTACTGCTGTCGATTTACCCAAACGAGTGACTGAGGTAAGTGCTAGTTTGCATCTGTTCACATTTCTGTTTTCATTGTCAATGCGACTGTCGTTGGCTGTCGTTGTGGATTACCTTCACCTTGTCTTGCGTGTAAATTACAATGAGGCTTTTCCTGGTGTTTACATGCATAATCAGTCATTCTTTCACTGTCGTCTGTCGACGTTTGAAGTGTGATTTGAAAAGTTAGAAAGCCGATTGGGCAGCTGTCTCGTCCTGGTTGGGTCTCATTAGCACAGTAAGCGAATCCATAGATTCAACCCACTGGGGATCGCGAACCCTGGACCTCAGCACAGGTAGAACGCGATCATACTACCCACTCGGTCACCGGTCGGGGGCAGCTGATCACACGGTTTCTCATTCTGTATTTACACTATTACAGTACGATCCCTTCTATGCGAGTTTGTTGCGTGTGTGTCCGCGCCTCAGCACTAGCTGGTCCCCGGGGGGTTCTGACTCGGTTGGAAACTTTCAAAACCTGACTGATTATTTGTTTCGTAAGAGTAATGAAGGATTTATGTCCATGATGAATTCGTCGTGTAAATGACGCGTGAACTGAAAAGCTGGGAAGCACAAAACGGGGTGAAAACGGAGAAGAAACCAAGTCGATGAATGATTCAGTCCCCCCCCCCATAAACTGATTTCAATAGTACTCTAACGTGCCAATACGGAGCATAACAGTAGCTTTATATTCTGCGGGAATCGAGCAAGAAAAATATCTACGAAGCTATCGTATCTATCCACTAGTCAGAGGTTAGATTTATGTGCGCGGATTTCTGAGAATTGACTTTAATTCATCCTCTTCCCCCTCTCTGCTACTCGTGATTCAGAAAATCAACGTTCGAACCCTGCACCCCACCCTAGCTGGCCGAATCAGATTAAAAAACAAAAAATTAAAATGATTTTTTAGTATCAGAGCTCATTGAAGTTCACTTCACTGTATTGGGCTGCGCATTGATGGTTGATGATGTCATCATCATCATCATCATCTTCGTACAGTGAGATACAGTGAAGCGAACTTCACTGATCGCTTTCAAGCTCACAATGTACACAAATAAAGTGATGAAGCACAAGATGGAGAAGGATTGGGCCTACTTGATCAACACAGAGTACACAATCTAGGTGTTCATACATACCTTTTCAAGCATTCTGACTTGTTAAGAAATGACAACAAGAGCGCCACTGCTGTCGGTTGATCGCCATATCCTTTAATGTCTTCAGCCAGCCAGTTACAGAGTCTTTCGGACCCCAACCTGGAAGACGGGAGGCACCGATTCTACCTAATCGGTTGGTGCATTTCTTCATGCCTCGCTTCCACGTCATCTGTTGACCTCCACGCGGTTTCTTCCAACTTGTAGCTGCAACTGCGAATAAGGCTCCAGGTTGGAAGAAACCGCGTTCGTGTTTGATGATGAGTCTATCTTTATCTTGTTTTCCTAATAGCAAAGGTTCTGTGGTGTATAGTGGAGCTGGCCGAACTACCGCAACATACGCTCGTCCGCTAACGGACAGCCAGAAGTCGCGATGGCGCTACAGATGTCTCAAGTTGGCAAATGCCAATCGAGCCTTTTGTATGCGAGCGGACACTTCATCCGTGATGCATCCACCGAAAGAAATAGAGCTGATCAAATAGGAAAATTTGTCTACCTGGGCTGTTACTTCCCCAGTTAGAACCGGACTGGATGCTTGACGAACGAATCAAATGTGCAACAAAGTCAAATAGAAAAGGAGAGAGAGAGAGAGAATAGCCCTGACGAACACCAATTTCCGTGGTGACGAAAGGGTATATTGATTTTCTTACATGCCTAAAACTGGTCAGATGTTTGCTTCTCGTGAAAAAAAACGTTTTGGCGTTCTTTATTCCCTTTTTTGTCCGTAGCTTGAGCAATTTGTCGTGATCAAGGACGTCAAATCGGGCACAGTCACACGCACAGAGGCCAAGCCTGGACAGGACGGTTTTCGTTTCTGTGCCTTCCTCAGTCCCGGCCGGTATGAGATACGTCCGGAAGTGCGTACCGGTGACACCGAGGGAACACTGGCCTACTTCGTTCCGGCCTCACACAACGTAAGCTGTTCCCTCCGGGCATATAAACTGAATAGATGTATCTAGTATTACCCGAATGAAGTGCTCTGTATAGCTTCAGTTTTACTCCTGCTATCGTCAAATAGTGAATTTCTCCGACACCCGGACAAATCTATTTAACGGATAACAATGCAACTCGTCTTCACAGGACAAATAATGGTCCTTGCCAATCGAGCGTCCAGATTATTGTGTTATCGGCGGGTGTTCTTGGCTCCCAACACTGCGTTTTCTGAAACAGTAGTGGCCGATTGTGATGCACTAAAATATTTTCTTCCTGACTAAATTCAGTTTCATTATATTTATCACCTGTATTAACGTTTTAGGTATGGGCAATAAGTTACCTCTTGTTTATTTCTATCTACTTAGTTTCTAGGCTGCATGATTGTTAATTAAACGTGCGTGATCTTGGTTGCCAAGATAAAGTAATCTCAACGTGAAAGTCGCAAACTTTATCAAGTATGAAAATACAATATATTCTAAAAGGAACGACTCAAGAATTATCCCAAATTATTTCCATACACCCTTGCTATCTCGGTTATTTGTTATGACGCATTATTTTATCCAATATACAATGCATAATAACAACTCTATTAGATGACCAAATAAAATTCTTTCACTACCCGGAGAAATTGCATTAAATAATGTTTCATAATAATAATCTATGTTTGTTAGTGTGACATGTGTCAACGTGCTAACTCACTGAATACGACAAATCTCATTTTCATCGAAATCAACCTTAAAATCAAGATCATTTTTTGTGCGCAGTTTTGAACGTTCATATGATTATCACCATAATGAAGCTAGCATCGCTCGAAACCAAAAGTTCTCATTATCTCAGTGAAGAGGACAGAACTAGAATTGCAAGAACACAA